CCACCTCATCCTACTCCTTCTCACCGTTCATGACTGTGGCAAATGAGCTTACCTCCAGAATGAGCCAGCTCTCGCCAGAGCAGTCCTCGGAGACGCCTCCCTTTCACGATAACTCTGCCTGGGCAAAAGAGGATGGAAGCCCTATCTGGGGGACTTATGAAGGACGGAGAACTTATTGATGAGAGATAAGAGCTGGAGGAAAAGAAAAATGGAACATTATTGAAGCAAATTAATTACTTGTACGCATTTTTCCTAAAGCTGGTCCTTCAAATGGAGGTTGCTAACAACATGCAATACTTTATGCTCTGTTTAGAAATGCAATCACTTGGGAACACCACATTTAGCTTACAGTGGTGCCTTCTAGTGCCTTATGAAAGTCGTTGCTCACAGTCCTGTTGTGCTACAAGTGAAATACACAGCCTGAAAAATATCTGCGCTCTATGGGCCTTTCCTACAAACAAGAATCTCAGGTACTTCTTTTCAGATGCTGAGAAAATGGGTTGCTCTGAACCTTAAACTACATATACAGAGCAACGTTACCAGAAGAGATTTGGGAAGGCTGGGGAGCAAGGCAGGGGCTGGGGAAAGCCCTCCTTAGTAACAGAGTCTATATAACGGCATCTGGTTACCTGGCAGCATAAATGTACATCCCTAACACTAATATGCTGTGAACATGGCATTTTTTTGGGCAACAGCTATGGCCAGAGTACCCACAGGCACCCACCACTGGGGCTAGAACTGGGAAGGAGGTTGAAGTCCCAGTGGCCACTAGAGGTAGCTCTGCACACACAAACACACACAGGAGCCCCGTGCAGTCCTCACAAGATGCGGCCAGTCAATACCTCGTGGAGGCTACCCCCTCTGCCCCATCTTGTCCCCCAGCCTGGCACCCACAGAAGCAGCAGCAAAAGCCTCACTGAGGATGATCAGGAGCTTTCCAGGCCCTGATAATACTTAGTGATGAGATGCTTTAAGGCCCCCTCCTTGCTTTTTCTCCTCAAATCTTGGGGCTGACAAGGCATTTGGAGCCTTCTCAGCACCCTCCAGGGGTCATACGTGGCACCAGGGTCACAGGATCCAGCCTGCAGGCACCTTTCTGCTCGGGAATGTGGACTGGGGACACAGGATTGCACTGAGAAATAAGCAGCAATATTGGGCCCCTGTAAGCAGCACTTCAGAGAGCAGCCAAGCAGGCCATGCCAGTTGTTCTACATAAAGCCTTTTCTTTTACAGGTGTACCACCTAGCACTCCTCGTCCTGTAACCCAGGAATGTCCCTGCACTTCAGTGTGCACACAGCAACCATACAAGACCCTTGCTCAGCCCACGCCTGGCAGCCACTGCTGGCTGTTTAGGCACCCGCAAACCATCCAGGGTATGCTCTGGCATAAAAGGATGGAACGAGTGCTCCCAGGGATCTCAGTAGCTGCCCCAAAAGCGAAGGCTCTGCTTAGGCTGTGCTGGGACAGACCTCTCACCCTGACCCCTTGCAGCACAGCTGAGAAGCAGCTGCAAGAGCTGGAGCACCAGCAGCCCTGATGCAACGTGCCTGGCAGAGCTCAGGGCTAATTGCAGCCCCTGCTTCTACCCCGTGGGGGTCTCCAGCTGGACCCCCAAGGTCTGGTTCTGGAAAGTCTTGGGACCCTCTCAACACTTCCTGATTGCCCAGCCTTATTCAGACCTGCTCAGAAAAGCAAATTCCAGTGGCTCGCTGTGCCTCAAATCTTGCCTCTGCCCACCCCACAGGTTGCACCCTTCTTTTTGCTAGTCAGGCCCTAGAGACAGAAGGAAAGCTCAACCCAGGGAAGAGGCAGCAGCCAGGGCTTCTCCGCACACGTGCTAAGCATGGGGCAAGGCGAGCCTGGCTGCCTCCCTATTTGGTCTGCAAGCACTACAGGCAGGTGTGGAACCTACTGGGTGGCACCCTCTCAGGCAGAGCTGCTCCCTCAAACCATGGTCCAGGGCAAGGCAAGGAGCCCCAGAGCCTCTCAGGGCTCTCAAACCTGAGCCCACACAAGCCCGTAGCCTGTTCTGCAGCACATCGCCAGGCTGAATTGCTGTCTGTAGCTGCTCTTTGGCAAAGTGGCAAAGCAGTCACCATCAGCTAGCTGAGCTGGACCTTCTTCAAAGACCTTGTATGGTTGGGGATACCAGGGTAGGTCTGGGTGTATTCCCACCAGGCTCTGAGGGAGAAGCAAGACAGAAAGATTTTGAGCTGTCTTGGAAGCATTTGACGCGCTCTGGCATTTGGCTCTTAACTAAGGTAGGGCCTGGAAATGGTCTGAAACTCAGGACATGCAGGAACACCCCAAACATGGGTGCTTCATGTTTCCTTAAGGTGTGCAGCTCAGTCACTGGAGCTGAGCAGCCCGGTCTCTGGTTACAGAAGTAAACATTACTCCGGCTCCCGGGAGTGCCGGCTCCCCTGCACAGCGCCCGTGGCCTCACCGGTCTCTACCCACCCACCACCAACGCTTCAGCGGGAAGGAACCCACAGTAAGGCGAGGGCTTCAGCTCCCAAACCGCTTAGCAGGGTCCTACTGTCCTGTGACCACCTTCCTCTGCAACTCCCTCAGCACAGCTGGCTCCGTTTTGCTGTGTCTGGGCTGCTCTCCAGAGGGGCCCGTGGGATGCATCCCTGCAGGGCTCCCCCGAGCAAGGCTTGGCCTTACCAGGAGCTGCAGAGGCAAGGAATGGCATCGCCGCTGCGACCACTCCCCATAGAAATCGAGTGTATTTGTTCAACTTAAAGGAAAAGAAAAGATTCAGCTGCAACAATAGCCAAACCGAACTGCTAGTAGATTATTAACAGCCTGGCCTGCTTTCTGCCTCAGCCAGTTATTCCCGGGGCACCGTAGAGGCTGCAGTGCCCAAGGAAAATTTGTAACGCAACCTAAAAAACCCAACTATGTCAGTATTGTACAGTGAGAAGGGTTATCCAAAAACTGTCATCCCACCACACACTGAAGCCCCACTACTTGCAGCAAGTAGGGCAGGCTAGTGCTGAAGTATGTAGGAAGAGAGAGGCCAATTTGTGCAGCAAGAGCAAATAGTCTGAGTTAGGGGAAAACGCAAATAAACTCCAATATAAGGTCAGGATCTGGGCAGAGGGAAGGGAATGCTGTGGAAAGAAGTGGGGTTTGGGTAGCTTCAGCTACCTGGGCGCCCAGGGCAGCCTCGTTGTTATGCCACACCCAAGCACTGCCATTTTGGCCCAAAACCCCTTAGTATTTAGCCTTAAAATGAGAAAAATTGTGCAAAAAGCAGCTCAGTCCCTTGCAGAGTCCTCTCTGCAGGTAGCACATGAAATATGAGAGGGCTGGAGCCCAGCCTGTGCGTCTGAGAGGAAAATACTGAGCCGGTTTCGAGGCATCTGCTTCGTTTGGGGAAAGATGGATAAAATCCCGCAAATGTCCCAAAAGCAAAGGGTAGGGAGGGTGGCCCCACCAAATCTTATTCCCCCAGACCCTCTGCTAGATGGGGATGTGCTCAGTTTCACAAAAAGATAGCCCATTTTGTGGAGCCTTTGAATATTCAAATTGAAAGTATCGCGCAATCATTGATTGTCAAATCATTGGTTTCTAGAGGTTTTAAATACTTGGCATTAGAAGAGAAAAACTCAAACTTATACCCGTAGGGATAAAACAATAATATTGTCGGGATCCACCTGGCATTGCCACCGGGCAGGCAGGTCCCTCGGCCCCCAAATTTTAAGCCTGTCGCCTCTTGCCCCCTTCACCTGCTCTGGGGCCGGGGCCACCACTGCTGCTGCACCGGCTGCCCGGCGAGGCGCTGCCCGCCCCCGCTCAGGATGTCCGGTAAGCCCCGCCGTGCCTCCCCCACAACCCCCCGCCACCCCAATTTGGGGCAGTTTCGGGGCTCACGGGGGTCGTCTCGCGAGTGAGGCAGCCCCCCCAGCCCACCCTTGGCACCCTGCTCCCCTGCCTCCAGCTCACCCTGACCCCAGCCCACCCTTGGCACCCTGCTCCCCTGCCTCCAGCTCACCCTGACCCCAGCCCACCCTCGGCACCCTGCTCCCCTGCCTCCAGCTCACCCTGACCCCCAGCCCACCCTTGGCACCCTGCTCCCCTGCCTCCAGCTCACCCTGACCCCAGCCCACCCTTGGCACCCTGCTCCCCTGCCTCCAGCTCACCCTGACCCCCAGCCCACCCTTGGCACCCTGCTCCCCTGCCTCCAGCTCACCCTGACCCCAGCCCACCCTTGGCACCCTGCTCCCCTGCCTCCAGCTCACCCTGACCCCCAGCCCACCCTTGGCACCCTGCTCCCCAACCTGCCCTTGTCACCCCGAATCCCATCCCGCCCTTGTGACTCGGCTCCTGGCCCCCCCAGCCCGTCCTCCCCACCCTGCTCCTTGCCCCCAGCCGCATCATCCTGCCCCTTCCACCACAGCCTGGCCAGTTCAGGAGATATGGCCAGGGTAGCCCTGCTCTCGAGGCTTCGCCTGCACCCAGACCACGCTGATGCCTCGTGGTGCTAGAAGAACAGGGTCCTTGGGGCACAATGCCCTGCCGTGGGAGCAGGGCTGTGTGCTGCCTGACAGCCAGCCCCTGGGTTGCAAATGTGTCCGTACCTCACCTGCCAGCTTGTCTTTAACACTGTCATTAAGTGTAGCCCCTAATCCTGTCCAGCTGTGCAGGTCAGAGCTACGGGGCTGTACGCAGCATGAACCCAAACTTGCAGAAGGGACTGCTAGCTCAGGGCCTTCCCTAGCTATACACAGGCCTGGTGAAAGGGTGTTCTCGTTAAATTCAAACCTTCCCTCATTTTCCCCATCTTCAGTTTGTTAAATAGAAACAAAACATAAAAATAAGAGATAAATAATCCCCAGAGGCTGAGAGTACGGCTCAGCAAAGCCTTCGAGGTCCCCTGGAGGGACCTGTATGCCTGTTACAGCATGCCCTCAACCAGAGCACCAAGGGGGCAAAAGGAAGGCCGGGGGTGGGCAGACAGGAGGCTGAGGATGCTGTACAGCCATCAGCAATGGAGGAGGCTATTGCAGAAGAGGACAGTGCCTATGGTGTGGGATTTCTTGGATATGTGGGCGGAACGCACAAATCCAGCACTGCCTCTTCGTGCTGCATGCAGCAGCAACATAACAGGGAACCTGCAACCAGCTGCCTCCACTGGGGAACAGCTGACTGCAGGATGAGACGATGCTAGTGTTTGTAGGATGAAAGCAATAGCAGAAAGTTAGGTCAGAAACAGAATTGCCAGAGGCTTTAAGTATTTTAGCATGAGTACAGCAAGTGAAAGTAATTTTTCAGAATAGGTGAATACTTTACCATTTCCTGTACTAAAAATCCCAAGTAGTGACTGATGATTGCTGATTGGTTTTTAAATAAATGGGAGTTGTACAGAATGAGCAAACTAAAGAGATAATCTAGGCTTGACAAGAAATGATTAATGAAAACACTCATTTTATTTGTGGGGGGCCCTCTGAATAACTGCCCATATATTTCCATTGGTTTATTCCTGGTCTTCATCTGCACATTTATTTTCAGGTCCTAAGAGTGGCAAATAAGACAGGAATTCAACAGTAGTACCAGATGGAGCTTGGTATTAGGAGACCTGGAGGGGGGCAGGAAAAAAGAAGATAGTAAAGAATGAAATAAGTATCATTTCTAAATACAATCAATGCCAGCTTTTTCATAAATGTCTGCTTGCTACAAGCTTGACTACCAAATGTTAAAGAGGGCTATAAACTGTGATTACAAGCAACTTAACAGCGACCAGTTAATCATCTGTTTACTCAAGTAGACTGTGTGTAGAGCATGCCTGAAAACATCCTGGATTTGCTGTATGCTCTGAAAGTCTCACATCTCGTAAAGTGTTTTTCCACAAATTCTTTCAGGGAAGCCCAAGGTATACCAAGGTGTTAGAGTAAAGATTACGGTTAAGGAGCTGCTGCAGCAGAGGAGAGCACGACAAGCAGCAACTGGTGCAGCGGTAAGTAATCTTTTGGTACGTGCTTTGTTTCTTCTCTCTCAATCTTTTTGCTAAGACTGTAATCTCTGGGCCAAGGAGACTGCCGAAGTCTGAGTGTAGCAGGCTAGTGAGGATGGGGGGGAAGAACATTCAATGAGGACAGCTGCAGCAGTGATCTAACAGGTGACGGTCCAAGCCATTACTGCAGGGAGAGAGCAGAGCTGGTGTTCCACAAACATAACTCACTCTGGGGTGGAAGAATCACATGGACAAATTTCAGTCCAACTTAGCAACATCCCCAAATTTTGGCTAGCAGAAAGGAAGAAAACAAGACGTGGGCAAAGATCCCTTAAGCAGGGCTCCATCCTGCTCCGTTAGCATAATACTCAAGCATGCTTGACTGAATTCAGGTTTCCAGTGTTTTTCCGTACCACCTGGTTGGTTCCTAGCTCAATCCCCTCTAAAGAAGGGGACAGAGATCTCTGTGTGTGTACACACACACGCGCGTCTACACTCTCTCTCACTCTTCCAGTCTTTGTAGGAGTCCTCTAGCTTCAGCCACTCTTGGGATTTGCATAAAGAGGTTGGTAAATTATTACTTCTTCCTGATTCATGACTTTACAGCTTTGGATGGTTTTCAGATTTCATCTCCCACCTCCTGTTCCTCGTTGCAGCTGATTGCACAAAAAGCTGTTCAGCCTGCAAGCCACAGGCAGGGAGGCCTGGGTGGACAGTTCACAAAAGCGCTGGGCTTTGGAAATGCTGGGTCACTCCTCCCCTCTAGCACTAACGGAAGCAGCCTTTTCATCGCAGCCAGGTGTCACAGGGCTGTGTGGAACTGGTTTTCGCTTCCCACAGCAAGTTTACACAGCGCTTGCTTTGCCCACACAGGAAAAAATGAGAAGTGGCAGTGCAGGAGGTTACCTTTGTGATCTGCAAAAGGTACACGTTGTCCTGGGCTGGGGCCGGCAGCATAAGCTGCCTCTGTGCACTGAAAAAAGCTGAACCTGAAAGTGTCTGCTGCTGGTGGTATGGCTCTGTCTGCCTTGTTACACATCTGCAGCCAAAGAGAAGAGGGATAGTCCTACAGGCTCTTTCAGCCCAGAATAGCCACTATTTAATGAATTAAATGCACGAGGATGTGTTGGGAAGTTGTTGCTAGGGAAATGATCCACTACTTGAGAGTATTTTGAATACAGGAAATGAAGCAGAAGTCTGTATGAATTAAAACTGAGTTAAAAAAAAAGGTATTTGTATTCGCAGAGTAAAATCCTGGTCACAAACAACAAGCATCAAAACACCCATTGCTTTTGGGGTGGATTTCTCCCCTCCAGCAGGTCAGGCTTCTAGGCTTCTAAAACACATTGATGTCTCCGCTTCAGCTTCCAGCATCCCTCAGAAAATGAGACTGTCCATTTCCATAGAGGCACATAGCTGTGTTAGAGTGGGGAGCGATGTCAGAACTGGTTCTCAAATGACATCAACACCACGTACGGCGACCCAGTCTGATGTCCAGCCATGGGGATACCTGCAATTATCTTAGTCATGTTCCAAGAGTTATTAATTTATTCATTTCTCATTCTCAATCATATTTATCCCTACAAATTCTTTGGCATCCCCCCACTGTGGAATACGTGGTCCTAGAAATTATCAGGTTAGTGTTAAAGGCAGCCACATCTCTGCTGAATTAACAGCGATAATGCAGTAGGAGGAGTGCACTAGCAAGGTGCTGTATCGAGGGCTTTACACCAGGTTGGTGTTGTGCTCCTCCAGTGCCGTCATAGGCTCAGGGAAAAATCATGTTATGCATGTTAATCTTCTGTCAATGCTAGCCTAATTTACTTCTGTCACAGCCATGAAGTAAATTAGGTTTGACTTACCTCAGCATGCAGAAAAATGCTCCCCCATGTTACAACGTATACAATTCCTTTTCTTTCCATCTCTTTGGTCAGGTTTCTTGGGGTGGCAGCAGCATCCAGTTTTCAGAGTCTGTGTCTTCTCCTCACCCAGGTTGGTACAAAGCCCATCCACATGTTCCTTCCCACCCCCTTCCCAATTTTTTCCCACAGCCCAGAGTCTTTCCAGCCCTTGGCTGAGGCAGGCACTGCCAGATAACCGGCAATGCAGCCAATCAGCACCTGGCAGGAGCCCGCGAAATGCAGATGAGAATGCCGAGAGGCCAGCGGGGTACATGTAACGCCGTTCAGGAGCATGCTTACATGCTCTCATTGTGCAGTTTATTTGTCCCACAGCAAGGAGTGAGATCCCCTTCAGAAAGGGACGCTCATCCCCTCGGGAATAACACTGCTGGCATCACCTTCTCCAGGCTGCAGTCTGTGGGTCCCATTGGAGCTAGAGGGTCGGATCGCTCTGGAGCACTTTGCTGAGCTCCAGCAGAGTTGGCTGCTCTCACTCCCCTGGCAGCATCCATAGGAGCGAGAGGAGTGTCAGGTTCTCAGCGACACAAAGAGTTTCTTCCTCCTATACGTGAATATCCAAGGAACAGGGGAAGGGTTGGGGGGAATAGCCCTTTGGGCTCACAGAACCTTCAATTATTCTGCAGCCAAAGCAGAGAGACCTAAAAGGTTGGGCAGGTGTGAATATATACATTGTCCGGACAGGAAAACTATTAAATCATTGATATTTGGGAATCAATTTGCTTATGTTAGTATAGAAACATGAGACATACCAAAGGTTTTTCAGGCTGGAAAGTCTCCATCAGTTTATGTATTTTGTGTGCTTCTTACTTCCTCCCCACATCCAGCTAAACAGTGCCACCTTGAACCTGCAAACAATTGTGACTAAGTGACTCTACCCAAGTGCAGTTCCATTGCCTTCAAACCCGTGCCCCTCCATGTGGACAGAGCTTTGCTTTTAACCATATCTGAACACAGCACAAAAGAATAATAATTCTGAAAAGTCAGATCTGCTGTGAGCTTTCATACTCCCAGCAAGCATGTTGCAATACAGTGAGAGTTTGACCCTACAGCTTTCTAGGAACTCACACTTTCACCAGTAATGCTATGTAGATGTGATGCCGCCTTACCATAGACTTGCTCCATATTGTCTGCTCAGAAGTTTGTCTCCTGTCTGGCTGTTTGGAGGATAAAAGAACAAATTATGCTTCTGTTATCCCCTTCTTCCCACAGATGTAGATACCCTGCATCTGGAGACTGGGTGAGGCAAAGGCGCAAGCCATCTGCCAAGCTCTGAAGTGCAAATCACTGCATGGCAAGCTTCTAGGTCTGTAAACAGTTGAGGTTTGAAGGAAGGCCAGAGGGTCAAGAGTCTGAGGCAGTATCCAGCTGGATCCCTGTCCAAAATGGCTGGAGCCAGAATTATTTCCAGCAGAATTTAAAAAGCTTTGGAGCTTTATAAGGCAACCAAATCTATTAAGTTATTTGCATGCCTTGAAGCATCTTCCTTCTGGTGTCTGCTTCCCTAGAAAATTCATCCTGAACCTGAAGGACATTTTTTTTGTCTAAATCCATAGGGTACTGAACATATGAGAGTACTGAAACCTGACCTATTATTATTACTGGATAATCTGCTATTGTCTGCTTTACCTTTTCTCCTAGCACCTTTTGACGCAGAACCCATCTCTTCTGTTCCCAACTGTTGTCCATCATGGCAGTTTTCAAATTGCCTCTCCTGCGAAGAAAGCCCTAGTTATTTGGAGCAGCTGGTAGATTCCTGTCTTCAGACAGATGCACCCTTAGACCCAGCCTTCAGTACGTTCCAGCCGTCCTCGCACTACACCTCAGACGCCTTCCAGCCAGTCCCGCTCTGCTTTAACCAGGGCCTGGTAAGCTTTGTCTCCCAGGGGACAGCCACAGGCACACTCAGAGGGAAGATGGGGAAGGCAGTCACATCCTGGGGCAGAACAGCAGCAAGCTGATTGGGAAATGTGGCTGCTTTTAGGGGCATGGGGTACAGCCACAGCAATGCAGGCTGCTTGTGTGAACTTCCACATGGTTTCCCATTGGGAACAGAGAACAGGGAGGCCCAGCCAAACCTAGTGAGAGGCTGCGGAATAGGGAATGTCCCTTCTACAGATCCTGTAGATTTCCTGGAAAGAATAGCCCAGTTCCTGCTAGTGGTTGCCTAACCTGAAGAGATGCTCCCTATTAACACTAGTGTCACAGGAACTGCCTCTTGGGTTTAGGCTTCCGAGGACTGAACCATCTCCTCGGGTAGTCAGACCCTCCTGAGAAAGGCAATGGCATGGAAATTTTGGCTGCTGTCCACATTTCCCCAAGTGACACCCTGAAACATCCTGGGTTTTGTTGTGTTTTTTTTTCTTCTTTGGAACTCTAGGCTTCTGGATCTCCCAATTCAGCTGATCTGTCCAGCCCAATAAACTACAGCTGCTCTCCTCCTCAGCTATCTCCTTTCACCCCGCTGACCCACAGCCCACCCTCTGCTCTGGACACCAAGATCTACGACTACCCTGCGGAGGAGTGGTCCTGCCATACCCCCTCCCCATACACCACCTCTGCCTGCTGCTGCACCGCCTGTGGCTCCCAGCATGAGGACAACAGGGTCCCGCAGTACTTCCCCTGCTCCAGCACAGACTGCATGGACTACCTACCACCCATGGCCATGGCCGATGACTTCTTCAGAAGGGATAGGAACTGTGACATCTGCTATAGCTAATGCAGACTGTGGTTTTACACATCCACTGTATCCAAATCAGATTATTTGCCCATGAACTATGCAAAGTTGTGCTGCCTAACACAGTCCAGTTTATTCTTCACTACTCACAAATTTTCTACATGATGTTTTCACTACATTTGTCCTCCTGTCTTGTATGATCAGGGGTGTTTTGTTGTTGTTGTGGTGGTGGTGGCTTGGGTGGGTTTTTTCCTGTTCGTTTTTGTTGTTGTTTTGCAAAAAATCCTAAGCTACCTTACCAAACACGTCATTAAGCCAGCTCTTTTTGATACAAATAAATAACTTGGTATGCATACTGAAGCCTGTTCATTCCTCCTGCGCTAAATGTTTGCTTTTCTCTTCTGCTAACAATCCAGGATCCTGGCCCTGTTCTCATAAAGGTGAGGCAGAGAGACCCTCAGCAACCTACACAAGGAACAATTATTCTGTGCTATGAAAGGTCTTGCTTACCCTTTCCAGCAGATAAAAAGTCTTTATGCATTCCAGCACACCATCCAGAGAGAAAGCTGTGCAGCACCCTGCTCTGAGATGGGTCTGCACCTTCTTAGCTGCTGTTTCTGCTCAAGCTGCCATGATGATATTCTCTAGTGGTTCTTGCAGAAAAGGAAAACCACTGTTTTCCATGCAAGCTCAGGGCTTAGCCCCCGGGTCATGTGCCAGAATGGCCTATCAGGCCTGTAGAGAGGTTGAATCCAGTGCCAAACATCTTTGGCTGCTGCTCAACACCAGGTTTCCATGAAGGCAGAGTTTTAGGTAGAGGCTGATGTAGTCCAGCAGCCCTTTGTATAGTTTGGTCTGTTGATACCAGGTTTTCTCCACCTTTCAGCACAATCAACTGAACAGGAGAAAAATTATTATTTTTTTAAAGTAGATAATGGGAAAGTTATCACACCTGAGGATTCCCTGTTTCTTGCATAAACCCAGACCTTTCTAAGACCGTGTTTCACCTCCTTTTAATACCACTTGGTGTGGCAGATGGCCAAGCACCCAGTTTCTCAGCTGAGCACCCAGACTAGAAAGAAAGAAGCATCTCTCCACATTAAATCCAACACAAACGAAAAAAACTAACTATGCCTGTGAAGACAAATACATAATTTAACTAGCACTTTCTCCTCCAGACACTTCTACAATTAACTGAAAAACCCTCCTCTCCCCAGAGCTGAAATTACTCTCCCAGCCTGCTCCACAGCTTGCTTAGTGCCAGCTACTCCCACCTCCCGCTTGAGGAGTGGGCACAACTTCAGATGTGTGTCAAAGCCCTTTATCGCCAACTTGAAAGAGCCAGAAGCAGATAAGGTTGAGGCAAGATATTTGAGGCTTCTAGTGGAAATTGGGTGACCACATCCTCCCTGTGAGTTGGCAACGCTGGCCTGAGCTTAACAGAGCTGAGAAGAGATGCTCTCACACAGCAAAGGAAAGAGCATGTGAAAACGCTAAGTAAGCATTCAACAAGGAGAGCACTCATATTTACACATTTTACAGCAAGGTTAGCAGTACTTAGTACTTCCCAGTCTACACAACAATGCCAGCAAGGAAGTCCACTAAAGTATTAGTCTAACAATATATCTCTCACCTCCGTATCAGGTGGATACATAAGTCTAATACATTATCAGCAGACTGTATATTTATCAGTATATTGTGGCATAGCTCTGTACAGCTATCAGTGGTTACACTCCATCTCCAAAGAGGACTGCTCTGTGGAGAGGTTGGACCCATCATCCAACCTATGGCTGCTGTTTATGCATCACTACTTAGGAATGGCAGCATGAGCACTACAAACCACCCTACATCCCATTCTTATTCCTGATCCTTGGATGTTACCAGACTCAGGCAAAAAAAGCACCCCTCCAGTGGGGGGAAGCTGCCTCTTGAAGGGCTGGTCTGGTCTTACCACTGAGCTTCCACACTTCCAGGTCTCGCAGGTGGTCAAGGTCCTGAGATGGGAGCGTGCAGTGTGTTCTCAAAGACAGCAGATATTTAACAGCTATTGGCCTCATGCTGCATGGGACCAGCTGCTCTGAAATTACCAACCGCTCTGCTGGGACAAGGATACTTCCACTGAAACATTTCTATACACTGGGGGCTGGAATCTAAACAGCTTCCATTAAGTAAGAAGCACTGTCCTCCATCCTTTGCAGCCTCTTCCATTTCTCTGCTACTCTTTCTCCAGTTGTTTTGCAATCTGCCACACCAGGGACTGCAAACGCGTTTTAGACACTGTTCCCCAACTCCATGTCAATAGCTCCAGGTGACACATGCAGTGCAAGTAAAAGCTTGCTGACTGTTGACACAATGATGTCTTGTGGACACAAGAAAGGGAAAAAAAACTAACAGAGGACTGTTCAAAGGTTGATTGTGCGTTTTCTGGTTATGAGGAACATATTCTTTCCCCGCTTTGTTCCCCTCCTTTCCCCTCTCTCCCCCCCAAAAAAGGTGGGGAGTTAAAGGAACGTAGGTTGGGTCATATCTCCAACGGAGCTGGCACAGCACTAAACACTGGCATTTCATCAGTCCCTGCCAGGTGAAGTCCTGCCAGCCTATATAAAGAAATGTTTACACAAAAGTGAGGATCACCCCATTCTTACAAAAGCCATGAATAACTCCAGAAGTAACCTGCAGTTATAGAGAAAATAAAAGGTTCTTATTTTCAAGTTCTTTACCAGTTGCACAGAGTATTTGATCAAAAGGTTTTCCTTGCCAACCGACTGGCAACTTTTCTCTGGTGCCACTTCAGAACATTTGTTTGGTGATAACAAGCCTTTGTTATTAACAACTTATCCAAAGCCACAGGTAGGAAGAGATAAACTGTGCAAATAAAGGGGTATCACACACAGCCAGGACCGCTAAGGTTATAAAAGATACATTATCCCTGAAATAGTCATAAAAAATGGAGGGGTTAACTGTGATAGTTCAGATACTGCTCAACTCAATGAAATTCACCCCAGCACAGAAGACTTAACGCTCAGGCCACCTCTGAGTCTTAAAAGGAATTTTCTTGATACACAGGCCAGGAACTGCCTGGCTTGACAGGGAAAGGCGCTTTACATGCAGCAGCCTCCAACTGTCTGGTGGATCCAGTCCAAAGGCAACATGAACAGCTTGTTGATTGTGGCTGACTTCAGAGCAGGCCTCTGATGTATGAGCTTTGGGAAGCTGAACACAGATGCGCCTGTAGAGAGAACGAATCCTTCCTGGGTTGGTCATGGGATCTTCCCTCTGCAAATCTCATCTATCAACTCTGAGTAGCACAGGCTGCCAAGGTGGTGCTTTCGATGAAGCCACATCCATCCCTCCCCAGATTGACATTTTCCCTGATATTCTGGAGGTGGTGATGTTTACAGACTGCAAATCACTGATGGCGTTGCTCTGTATTAAACATCCAAGAGCAGGCAGATGAAACAATAAAGAGATAAAGCCACTCTAGAAAACAGCTCATGTATTTTTTTCACTTGCTGCAAAAGGATTTCTGTCATCTCATAGACATTTCTAGATGGCAAAATATTTTTACATTTTCCCTAGTGCATCACATGCCACATGCTGGTCGCAGTTTTACAGTTTTGTTGCTAGCAAGTTCAAGAAATGGGTATTTTATTGACCATATTGTCTTGACACACAGTACTAACCCACCAATGCAGCTATCACTCAATTCAAGGCTTGTTATAACATCCCTTCAAAGTAAGAAAGCGCATGCTTTTGTTGGCCTATTCCCAGATATATGCAAATTTATGCAAACACATGCAAATACACGTCTGCTTTTCTGTCAGTGGATGTTGGCAGGTTTGAAGATATGATGTAGTGAGAAGCAATAATAAAACAGCAAAGAGGAGGGCTGAGAAAGTCGAGAAGGTCTTGGCATTTCTCAAGAGCTTTTGTTCAAGTCTGCTAAACAGTTGTTTAAACAGTCCAGGTCTGTGAGACTGACAAGTGCTTTAGAAAACCTCATCCCTTTGAGTTAGTCAGTGGGTGATCAAGGAAGTTACTGCAGTGATTTAAGACATCTGCCCTTCATCTTATTGTTCAGTCCTGTTAGAAAAAAAATAACTTGTGCAACACTGAGAAATCAGCGAACTATAATTCAGAATGTGTACTGAAGATGAGACACCCTCTGTGAAAGGGTTGTCAAAACAGGGCTTTCACTCCCTTCAGACCTTCAATCCTATTGACCCAGCAGAGACACTGTTGCTGGTTGATTGCACAGCAATTCACAAATCATTTCACAGAAAGAATATGAAGAATCTATTAAAATGCCCCCTTAGATAAGAATGGGAATAGGAGAGCACTTACCACATTGCACTCTGACCCTGCTGTGTACAGGCCCACACAGCTCAGAGGTTTACTACCCTGTCCATGCCTAAAAGCTGTTGAAGACCCAAAGGAAGCCTCTGTCTCCTACACAAGCATTAGCTCAGGTGAGGGTTCAGGTCCCCGCTCTGAGGTGCTTCCAGAGTTATTCTTTGCCATCAGAGCTGGAGACTTGGATTGGATCAGAAGGCTCAAAGAGGAATCCCTTCACTGGGAAGCACCCAGGAGCCACACAAACCTGTGCTGCTGAGAACCTGCCCCATGTACTTGCTCTTACAAGCAGCTCTTTTCTCTTCTTGGGGTGGGGTAAGAAACTGTAGCAATAGACAGCTGCTTCAGCTTTCTTCCACAAAGTGCTAAGAAACGGGGTAGTAGCAGCTTCCAGGAACCCTCACTTGGAACTCTTCAGTTCAGGTATCTGTTCACTCAGATGAAATACAGCCGGGGAAGATGCCTCGGGCTGACTTGACCTCTTCCATCCAGTCTTTTGCCTCACTTCAGGTTCCCACATTCCCAGGCTAGCAGGAACAATGGAGCTAATTGTGCATCACAAAGGCTTCAGTATTTCAACCTGTATCGACCTAACAAGAAGCACGGTTCAAGCGTATCTTAGAGCAGTATTTCTCAACCTTTTATAGCCAAACTACCATCTTGTGTTCTGTCACCACCATGGGTTTCAGTTGCTGCTAAATCAAAGGTTAGTTGTACTTTAAACATTTGCTTATTTCTGTAACAGCCATTTGCTTTGCTTGCCTCTTTGACTGCAAGCAATACTTTGGGAGTTTTCAACCATTTGAAAACTCATCTTCTGATATCTTACATGCTACTCATGGTCCACAGGTTGAGAAACACTGTCATCCCACCGTGATTTAAAGACTCTAGGAGCAGGGAGATGTTGGTTAACCATCCTCACAGTTTTTCTAAGATGCCTTGTGCAATTAGCAAGCTGAAGTTGAAGCCATTCCAGAAACTGCAGGCAGCCTAGGATCTGGCATTTCGGTGACAGGAAATGAATGCAGATGCAACTTTCCCTTTCTTCAGCAAATGCCTAACCTGCAAAAAAGTGTAGAAGTTCATAACATACCATCTGAAACTGTGCATGCAGACACCCCAATACCTACATACACACACTTATATACTAAATACACATATAAACATACCAGAGAAGACAATACGCTCCAGAAGCCTTTTCATATCTGTAGGCATGAAACCCAAACATCCCTTGAGATTTGCTGCCACTATGTGAAAGAACTACGCATTGACACCTCCCCTCAGATGTATTAGTATCAGCTAATGCCTGCTTTGTGTTCCTCGATTATGGATTTACTGAAGTAGGGAACCCCCAAGCCTACACCACTGCAACGTGTGACCCATGTCACACTACTTGTCCTCACGGTTCTCCTGGTAATGACAGACAGCTGTGGTGCACACAGATGCATTAGGAAGCAGCAGAAATGTGGATCATGTACCTGATCCCCAGCTTTTCCAGAGGGAGCCATGTGGATTGGTTGATCGTTGTCTAAGTTTCGGATGCTTGGGTCTGCCCCGTGGTCAAGGAGCAGCTGAACGATTTCTTTCTGGTTCTTGTCATGAGGCAATGCAGCTGCCATGTGCAAAGCTGTGTTGCCATGTGCCTAACAGAGTAGAAGAAAAAGAAAATGAAGAAAAAAAATAAATAAAGAGAAACCTCCTGATAAGCTGTGCCACCTACTCAGAATTGTAGACTCGTGAAATGATAGCCGAAGAAGCTTCACATGATTACTTATTGGGAGGTGAGAAAGTATCCCTGCTCTGTTCCTCCCATGTATGGATGCTCATGCAGGAGATTTGTAGCTTTAGATTTTTCTCTCTGATAGAGCACTACAAACTGGGGGGCTTTGAGACTTTGGGTATCGCTAACAAATAGTCCTGTATCAGCAAGATTCCTAATCACTCTGCAACCCCCTGCTAAATCCTCATGTGCAGCCCCTCACGTAAGCAGAGACCTGATGAGTTGTTTGAAAAAGAGAAGGACAGAGGCCATGTAACATGCATATTTATCCAGGAGAAACAATAGGAACTATTTCACTAGGAAACATTTAAGTCAGAGTAAGGGACACAAAACACATTATGCTGTGCTACCCATCACATAAGGGCTATGCGAGGATCGACAATAGTAGACTCATTTTGGCTCCACACATCTCCACTGCTCCCTTTTACAATCACTTTCAAGTGTCAGAAAGTTGCAAAGAAACCTTGACAGAAGCAGAAGGCAGACCCAATAGTACACAGGTTATATGCAAGGCTCAGGTTGATCTCTTGGATATTAGCTATCTTTGTGCGAGTCCTTCCAGGTCAACAAATTAAGAAGAGGTGTTTTGAAAGCTGTCCTGGTGGTCCAGCTGAGCCAGAGGTCCAGCAGCCCATGTGTCCCTCAGTGACATCGTGTACTGTGGACCAAACAGGCTTGGAGGTGGCTTGGCTCTGCAGCAGACAAAATAAATCATGCCGGGCTCCAAACCTTCTCCTAGTTCATTTCCAGGGTGCTGAAGGTAATGCTTGGCTTTATTTTCATGGCACTGTCCTGCCATGAAGAAGAGTCCTGAGGTCAAGGGCTTACTTAAGCATCTATTGACTCCAGCTTTTTCAGTAACGGGATTTGCACAGAACCAATGGGTGAAATTTGTAGTGGAGCCACGGGGGGGCGCAGGGCGAAGCATGCTGCATTTGGTTGCAGAAAAGCTCTGGTATCACCAGACCGTGTAGAAATCTGTGCCCCTGCCTAGTCAGGTATGACTGGTAACGGTTTTAAATGAGAAAAACCTAATAAGCAAATGTGTAAGGCAAGGTATTTTTAGTCTGCAAGAAGTCTCATTTAGGCAGCTGTATATTTTTTCTCTCAGAAATGATCATACATTGTCATGACCTTGGAATGGTTGAACAAAAATTGCAAAGGGTATTCCAGTTGTTAAAAGGAATACATATGACTTTCAGGTCCTATTTAACACTGAGATATAAGGGACATTGAAGCGTAAAAAACCCCAGCAAAATCTTAACAGCTATTCTCAGACAAGACATTTTTACAAGCCCTGAACAAGCAGATCCTTGTCAATTTTATCATCTCATAGATTCAAGGGATCCTTATGAGCTCTTTATAGAACTTCTCGTTAAAATGGAAACATCTGCATTTGTTTGCTGCACCTGTGTGGCAAGAGCACTTTGTAGCCTCCAAATCCAGGCACGGGGCTAAGAAAACAAAGCAATCTGGCAATGCCTGATCTTGAAGCCTCCCATTGACTTTAATGGGGCATATGTGAGACAATGGTCTAGAGCAGTATTATGTGGGCTCTAGGAATCCTTGAGATGGAAAATGCGTCCAAGGCCTCAATGCTTTTTGCATTGTGAAATCCACAAGGAAATGGATTTGGAATGAGACAACCACAGCAAGCAGTAGGTGAGCCACAGAAGCCACAACATGGACTCCAGCATCCCTGTTTTCTTGTCCTCACACTTGGAAGAGCAAAAAATCCAGGATGGGCATCAGAAAGCCTTGCCATTATATTTCTCACTGTCCCAGACAGCTCACCAATAAGACTGAGGACTTCAAGTGATCCTATCACAGCAGGAAGCTCTCACAGGATTGTGATCAAGAGACAACAGCAGACTCCCATGGACAAGCTATCACCTGCCTAATGGGTCTTAAAAGATACAGAAAGAATGCAGTGAAAAGGCAGCATAAAACCCTTCACTGTACAGAAAGACAGAAGCTCAATGTTATTAGTCACATACACAAAGCAAAACATTTCGTCCAGTCCAACAGAAAACTGTAAGGGGAAAAAAAAGAAAAAAAAAGTGAAGTTGCCCAGTATCTGCTTCCCAAGTGAGCAACTGAGTTGATAGAAAACATTCAACTCCTTTCTGATGGACACAAGCACTTGGATGCTCCAGGTAGCACAAGCAAGGCTAAGAGACTGAAACTGTTGAAATGATAAGCTAATACACATACCCTCTCACAACAGGGATCCCTAGTCTTGTGCTCCCCTTTCTGTCCTTCATTGCTTAAGGGCACCCTTCTGCAGAAGCACCCAGAATCACCCACTTAGTCCTGCTGAGAGGGGGCAGCTAATCAAGAGCCAAAAAGCCCTGGCTGATGGTACAGGGCGATGTCTCAGCTAAGGCACAGGAATGTCAGGATTTTTGCTTAGGAGGATGGGTGAAACTGATACATCTGCAAGATAGTGTCACTGCTTGGTATCTGCTCAGAGGTGAAGTATGGGGCAGCAAGGGGATGGGTGACACAACAGCAGCACTGAGAAGGTTTCTCGCCTGCTTTATAAAACCTAGGAATGGCTGTGCCTCCAGAAACCCTGCACTGAGGAACCAATGTTAGCAAAACTTCATCTCAGTAAGCAGGGCTGTACAGAGTGCCAAAAGCAGGGTCTCAAATTGCCACAGTCAGAGGTGGTCTACTTGCCACAGTGCCTAGGCTCCCACATGCTCAGAAGGATGCTGCCTGGCTTCAAAGAGCTGCTTCACCTGCCTGGCAGCGTGAGCCACCAGTTCACTGCCTACAGCACGTCTGTCTTCTGTTACTGCTCCTGGCAGCTGTTAGGGTTTGGTTGGCCCTGTGAATATTTTGATACTCCAGGCTCAAACTCACAGGCAGCCATCACAATAAGCAGTTTGTGCCTGGGCACAAACAGAGCCAGAAAACCTGCAAATAACATTTAAGGCAGAAAGAGTCACCATCTCCCTTAACTGAAGCAGGAGCTTTGTCCTTCCTATGGATGGCATCTTTGACAGGAGAGATTACTCGATATATGGCTACCCTGAACTGCTGTCTGTCAGTATTACGTTGCTGCCAACAGCAGCATTGCATCATTGCAGATCTCTTTTCTCAATCTTCAGCCTAATGTAATAAAGTTCATGTTCCCCCTCTAGTAATCACTTCCGACATCCTTCCTCTTCTCTGGCTACCTCGCACTCTCGTTCTGTCAGCCTGCCGGGAGAGAGGCCTGCATTTCATGACACAGCTCAGAGTTTGAGCCAGTCACTGTTTTCCAGGTGAAGTATCTATTTACTGTAAAATGCAGTTTTAGGTTAAAAAAAATAATTTCACATTGACAAACTGTTGCTTTCCCTCCAGAAAAAACATGTGTGGGAAGAGAGTAACTGGTTTCTGTAGGACCCCACAGATCTTCCAGCACCTCTGTCTGCATGCAGCCTCCCACCACAGCACAGCTCTCACACTGTCCTCGGCATCTCCGCTGCCCGTGGATGTGCACACAAACCCTGTCCGTGCATGGCCTGACTCACCTTGTTGTTGACAAAGTCCTTAGACTTGAAAGCATTCAGCTCCAAGAAGTATCTGAGCAAGGAGATGTTCCCATCCTGGACTGTATAATGAAGAACTGTCTTGTTGCTTTTTACATCCTATGTAAAAACAGGAAAATCGAATAAAATAAGAAAAGTTCTGCAGAAAAACCTGAAGATATTATATAAATCCATTGGAGAAAAGTCCTGGCCAACTCTGCAGCTAATGTGGAGCCCCTCCTTCCTTTCAGTGGTCCTCTTACTGTCCAGTATTTGCTTCAGGCTGCAAGAAAGTAATTCCAAAAGGCAGTAACTAACTCTGCAAGCAGCCACTTCAGAGGGAAACAGGCTTGGTCCTTCACTGAATTTCACTGAATTTCACTGAATTTCTAGAGTTGGAAGGGACCATAGAGATCATCTAGTCCAACTCCCCTGCTGAAGCAGGATTGCCTAGAGCTAGAGCATGTTACTCAGGACTGCATCCAGGCGGGTTTTGAAAATCTCCAAAGAAGGGGACTCCACAACCTCCCTGGGCAGCCTGTTCCAGGGTTCCGTCACCCTCGCCGTGAAGAAGTCAGCAGTTCATTCTTTCTCCAATTCTGTAGCTTGAGCATAGCACAAGCAACAGCAGGGCAGGAGAGAGTTCCCAGACAAAAAAAACAGCACAGAGGTAACTGAACCCATCCCTTACCCGGCTGTAGATGGAGGCTCCTGTCTGCACCAGGAGGTGGATACAGGACTCCAGCTCTTCACTCTGGTGCTGAAGATCTTTCTGCTGCTCCTCCGTCAACTTCTGGCAACCCTGCTCCCGGAGTAGGGCATTGTGGGCCAGAACAGCACAGTGGAGTGGGGTATGGCCTGGAAAACCAAGTGTGGGAGGAAGATACTGATGTAGAGAGAGGAAGCGAGGGCTGGCAGGAGAGTGCAGGCATGTCTGCATGTGTGTTCTTAAGGCAGGAGCCCTTCTCTGGTTTCACAGGTACCATATAGGTTGTATAGCCACTTTCTGGGGTACTCCGGCCTGTACACAGTTCCAATGTGCCATTGAATCACCAGCACCATTGAATTCTGTGACATCTGAGCACACAACGACAACTCACCCCAGGCAGTTTCTGAGGCCACTCTGGACTCCTAGCACACCACCAACCACCACTGAGCATCAGTCAGTGTAACAGTCACTACAGCTTTTCATTTTTTTGATACCACTATAAAGTATTTGTAGAAAGGGTTTTACCTTCAAAATCCTTCATTTCTAAATCAAGAGGGAAACCTAGTGACAGTATAACCTAGAAGCAACAGAGAAATGGAGAAGTTCAGATCAGTAGAATACTGTCCAAGACAAAAATCAGTCAAAATTAACAAAATTTTAAAACAAACAAACAATCAGATAATTATCATTTAACTACAAACTAAGCCCTTATTTGACACTAGATTTCAGTGCTGTGAATCTGTTTCCTCACAGGGACACTCAGTGTTACACAAGATGATCATGTTCTTCAGTTCCCTAACCCCTCCTAAGAATCCTATTAGATTCTCCACTGAGAACAGTAAAATTAAGTCACTGCCCCCAGTTGAAGAGTGCTAGCCTTCTTGCTTTCACCCTGGATTAAGCAAAGGCACCAATAACACCAATTCGTATTTATTCTGAGTTATTCTTGGCAAGGATAAATGAAAATCTCTCCCTAACATGTACAGCCAAATTTTATTACCTAAAGGTTTGCTGACATTGGAAATTCTCAGATTGGATTTATTTACTTTTTCTTTTTAACGTGCAGCACATGTGCAGCATTGTGACAGGTTAAAGCCACAGCTTGTTGCAATGCCTGCAGCAATGACAATGCAGAGCCTATAAATGGCATCAAAGAGTGATCTGCAGATGAGCATTGCTGGGATTTAGCAGAAAGCAAAGATTTTAAAACTCCTTATCTTAAGAAAATTATAGATTTGATATGATGCAGCCAAGTAGCTCCTTGTCTATATTATCACAGGTAATGCATTTTTTGCTCTTGATTGAATAAAGCAAGTTGTTCACATCTTGGCTGAGAATTTTTGCAGTGCAGCGACTCATCCAGAACCTTATCAGGTTAGACAATTGCAGGACAGAACCCTTCTGCTGAAAGATTATCTAGAATGGTTAGGCTCGTGCTCTCTTTTCATAATAATAATTTACAGATCAAATATTGACAAATAGCTCCGAGCTGTCTGATGATTAGAGATATGATTGTTAATCCATTAGAAAAAGCAATTAAAACAAACAAACAAACAAACTGTAAAACATTTCATGGCCTTGGCCACACTGAGAGGCAAGCCTGAGTGCATTTTCCCTTTTTATGGTAAGGGAAAAAAAACAACTCAAAGAAACCAAACAAAGCACAAACCACCAGAAGGCAATCTGTGAGGCTTTGTTGGAATCATCTGGATGTAAAACACTTTTCCCCAGTGAATGAAACACCTGTTTTCCAAAGAACTCACAGTGTTATACATTAACTGCCTGCTCATGACTCAACCCAGGGCGTGTGCAAGGCAGAGTTAACGAATAGTGGAGATGGACTGCCAGCATGCCAGGTACCCCCTGGCACTTACATTGACACATCCTTCATTCTCAGACTCTGTGCCCTGCCTTCAGGTGAACTCATCTGCCGCCGTGCTGCTGCAATAAAACTCTGCACTGAAGCTGTCTATTCTTTGTCATGACATGAATGAAGGCAGACACATTTTATACATTCCATTTTATGGCCAATAGCTGAGCATTTAAGAGATGCTCCTGCATGCTTCTCTCTCCTCTATAATCACTTCCAAAAATTCCCACAGTGCCTTTTCTAATGTGCTAATCTGCTCTTGGGGGCTGTTACAGTCTGGCTGCCACAGAACTTAGATGTAGACCCTGTCTACAGGGAGATGTGTGAAGCAATAGGGGAATGAAGATCTGGTCATATAAGTTATGAAAGTTCTAGTAGATTCTGGCCATACAGGAGCGTTTAGTTTCTCTTGTGCCCCAGAAAATCTTCTCCATGGATCTTGGTTTTGCATAAAATCTGAAAATTGTATCTCATTTTGAAGGCGGTGCCTGTGTTGGCTCTGTCTGCAGGGTCACATCTGCTTGCTCTTCAGCTGGCTTAAGTCTGGACACAATTCGTTGCTCCCATCTGGATGACACTGACATCAGGAAGAGAGTCTCACACTGGTATTATTGCTCCTTTTCCTCACAGCCCACAGCTGCTTGCAGCCTCTGAGGAGGCATCAGTACAGTACTGGGGGCTCAAGCCAGAGCAAGCCCACTCTGCCTGGTCTGCTATCGCAGATTTAGAGCTATGATGGGCAGAATTTATTTTCCCCCACTAATATGCTAAAGCTGTTTCCTCTATAACAGGAGGCTGATGCTAGCTGCAAGTATAGTCCTAAAAGAGGATAACCTGGGAAGTCAATTTGTGACACAATGAAAAAGGAAACTTTGGTCAGTCTTCATTGCTTACTGACCTCTCACCTTCTGAGACAGGTTTTTTTAAAGACAACAATATTGAGACTTTATTGTAGGCTTATATTGCTAGCCATTAAAACCATGAAAGCTTTTCCTACCTGAAGAACTTGGGCATACCCGTATGTTGCAGCAAGATGTAAAGCTGACTGCCCTTTGTTGTCTACAGCATTGACATCTGCTCCTGTCTGGATCAAATCATAGACAATAGCTGGCTGCCTGGCAGTGACGGCTACCAGCAGAGGAGTCTGAAAAAAGCAGCACAGCAGGTACAACGTGAGAGTCTAGAAGCAGATGCTATCATAAAAAAGGAACAGGGAAAGGCAGTCTGGGCTGAGCTGTATCTAGAATCCCAAGGATTTTGGTGCATAAACCAAAACCAGCTCACAGGCAGGTTTTCAATCCATGGTGTCATGAGATGGGGAGCATTTTCCAGCTCCTGCTAAACTCCCTCTAGGGTTCTTTGGCCCTAATTTGGATGACACTGAAAGCCCACCATCTTTTAAACACTGTTTATGTTGAGTGCAACACTCACAGCATAAATCTGTTCAGAAAACCTTTGGTCTCAGGCACTACTGCCAACATATACATATATTCCTGGACCAGTGTTGTCTTAGATCACTCTGCGAACCATGGGCTGAAAAGAGAAAAGGTCATTCTCATCCCACCTAATTTTAGGATCCTGCCAGAGGCACCTAAGCAAGGCATGTCAATGCCCCAAGGCTACCTTGGCAGTAACAGAGAGGCAGAGCTGGGTTTTACAGGGCATCAGTTGCTGTCAGTCATACAAAGCCCATGACCATCCCAAACACTGCTGTTTGTAGGAGAAAGTGGTCCATATTACCTTTCCTCTGTGTTCCTTGGCATCAAGTCTTCGCAGCAATTTCATGCGCTCTGCAGCTGCCAATGTATACGCCCTCATACCTTTAGCTGCATAAATATGTAGAATTCTAAGACAGTAAATAAAGATACTGATCACTGCTTGGCCATGAACCACCCTTGCAGCAAAGAGTTTTATCGGGTAGTATAGCGACTTTGGGGGTTTTCTGCCCAGTGTTCCACAAAACCATGCCATAAGCCCCACAGAGCTTGACCTTGCAAGCACCCACTCCCATGGAAAGGGCTTCCTACCTCAGAACAACTGTAGCTTTCAAGAGCCCTCAGCACTCCTGAGCTCTGACATGCTGTCTCTCCCTTCCACTTCAGCACTTTCTTTCAGGTGAGATTCACCCTTGTGCTGGGAGGTATCAAAGTCCTCCACAAAGTCTAGTGCTGGGGCCCAGTGTACCATATAGTGTGTATGTATCACTTGTTGGGGTGATACGACCTTGTATGCATCGGCGATATCTCACCAGCCAGAGTAACAAACAGCCTCTTCAAAATAGTGTATCTGTAAACAGCCTGCTAAGCGCTACTTCTTTATAAAAATTACTACTGAGAGGGATCACGTCCTTATCTTGTGCATAAGACAAAGAATCGTCACAATCCATAGTAGCTATGGGCTTGCTGGTGACATGGCCCTTAGTGACACGGAAAACACTTCACTGCTTCACTTTGGTTGCCTGGCTCTATGGAGGAGCTGGAGAGAATGACACAGAACTACTTGCCGATCCATTCCCCCGGGTCCTATTTACAAGGATGCTGGGCATGCACAGGTTCTGCAATTCCCCTTTGCACATGAGGAGACCATCCTACAGGCAGTTGTACCAGCCCCTGGGTTCATATCACTCCAGACAGCAGCATTTGATACTTTTCAGTCAGAAGGTGGTAGTCAGTCAGTTCTTTCCTCAGGTAGTTTTGTACCCCAGAGCCATACCTTGCAATTTCAGGAAGGAGAAATGCAACTTTACAGCTAGGCTGATTTTCAGTCAAGCTCAGCATTAGCTGCGGCTTCACTCACACATCCCCAGGGATGCCAACAAAGGGTAACAGTGATTGAACTAACATCTGAACTGCAAGAGTGCTTCTGTGAGTAAGGACTGCTGGAGTTCACAGTGACTCCAGGCCATATCTGGATCATGGAGTTCCTCCTTAGTCTGCCTTAATGCACAAAACCAGCAGAAAGTCTAACAGCTAATCTGTGATTCTAGCCTGTACATATGTTACTGAACTAAATGATTGCTAAATCAATGCTGGATTACCCTTCAGGATAAGAAATAAAACACTCTAGGCGTATGAAAGTTACTGTAGATCTTTATTGAAAAAGATTTTGTCTTTTTCTAATCAGAACAACCCAGAAAGAAATTCTGAAACAGTTCATTGTTTTATATTCACACACAGAATTTACATACAACGGAGTAGAAGAAATTGAAAAGCAATCTTAGCAACCACAGGCTTGATTCACAGCTGCATTATCCCAGTTTTACCTACTGAATCTCTTTGTACTTATAAAACTGGAATAAGCAGTGGTGAACTAAGCTCCTTCTAATTAATTTCTTTGCTGGGTTTTTCTGCAAATGTAAGCCACTAATTTCAATGCACCTGAACTCCTGCTATTTTCAAACAACTTTATGATCACTTACATGATCTATTGCTTATGTCTTCCAGATTTGTCAATATCAAATAACAAAACATGCTTTGGAAGTCCTCAAGACTTTCAACCTGAGCTTGCAAACCTCACTCAGGCATAAACTGTAAGGTCACTTAAAATACTGCCTAGGTGGCAAATGGAGCGTTGGATACCAGTTAATAAACAGTGCAATAAATTATTCTGCAGTTCATCTTGCAGACAATAAAATCACCTAAGGATCCTGGGCTTTAGAAAGCAGAAAAACCCAGAGAAATTGTTTTCACCAGCTAAGAGCCCCTTGTTTATTAAGAAAACAATAAACAGAGTTAGAATGGGATATATCTCCTGCAAATATATTTGCCTGTGGCATGGCACTCCTGAACATCAACAATAATATTTACAGTTGTGTCAGACCAAGAAGTAAAGCTACTTATTCTCCAGGAAAGAAAATCAGAAAGCTACAATGAAAATGTGTGCACCTGTGGGCCTGGGAGATTAGAGCACAGAGAAACCTTCCATAGCAGTAAGGCACAAGAGTGGTCACTAAGGTTCCTTGGCTCAGCACGACATCACCGACTTTATGCTCAAATGCTAGAGAACAAGCAAAAGTATTGCTGGCTAATAGTAATGTCATGAATTCTCTGAAGTCCAGATTTGGAAGACCCTGTCTTCGCAATGCATTGGTAGAAAAAAAATACACTTTACATTTTTGCTATTTTCTGAAGCAGGAGTTCACCTTAGGAAAAAAAAAAATTCATTTTAGGCCCCCCAAATGTTTTCTAATGGCTTAGATCAGGTAGAGGCTTCTCCACAGAAAGGACAAAGACACACAAGGCATTCACACTGAGCTCTGGAAAGCAGTCCTACTGAACTAGGTCTTGCCAATATTTAGAGGCAAGTGTACCCTCACCAAATGCTATAGTTGGCCACAGCTACGCTATAGTATGTCAATTTAAGATCATGCCCTGTGTCTGAGAGTGAAAGTCACCTCGTGCTGACGCTGAGCACAAGAACTAGGCAGTATCAAAAGCCTAGCTGGGAGGGGCAACAGGAACTGTAACAGCAGAGAAATCTTGTGCTCAGCCTCAGGACAAAGCAAGTTTCACACAATACACAAGTCATGGCGTGCTAGAGGTGGACACTGAAATCACAAGTAAAGTCCCCCCCCACGCTCCAGTGTGCTTTTCCTCTGTACTCAAAACTCCCTGTAGTGCCAGGCAGAGTACTGAGTAGGTGAGGACCAGGTCCCAGATGTGCAACCTAAAGCCCTTCAACAGAGAGAGCATGGTTTAAAACATACGTATCATTGTCTTCATCTTCTAGAAGCAGCTTCTCAATGGGCAGCGTGCCAATCACTCGTCTGGCATCCTCCAGCTCCTGAGGGGCTGGTTCAGGAATGGAGATGGGCAAGGGCACAAACTGTGGCCCAGAAAGCGTGGAAGGGGCCGGCTGGTACTGCAAAGTGGAGGCTGGCAGTGCAGAGAGGGGCTGTGCCCACGGGAAGTACGTGAGAGGTGGCTGCTGATCCGTCACCTCCAGCTGAGGCACTACAGCGGGGGTGGTGCTTCGGGGCTGTTAAAATAGAAGAGAAATAAACCAAAATAAAACAATTGGCTAGGTGGGGCACGGGGAGGACACAAAACAACAGACTAAGGATGCTCAGTCTCACTTTTAACATCCCTTTTCCTGTCTCTCTGGTAAAGCGTTGTACTAGTGTGACTGTTTTCCCACGCGGGCTCCCACGAGAGCGGTGGCTGTGGCTGTCCCAGGTGCTTGCTACCAGTAGCTCACAGTCATGTCAAGTTCCCTCTGAATTTCTGCTCCCACTCCCTCCTTCACTGTAACCCCATGAGACAGTTATACTCTGTGCTGAAAACTGGCCTCTTTGACAGTCTGTCTTAGCAAAAGTTAATGCATGGGGACAACTTTGCTGCCGCGAGGCTGAAGGCAGCTTATTCTGGCCTCTGCGACTGACCAGCCCGTCAGCCAAGGCAGAGCCACACTTGAACGCTAGCCCTTCCTCACCAGTGGGGCCACAGGACACAGGCATGGGCCTTTGCTGATCTGCTGTGTCAGTTTCAGCAGCTGAACTGAAACATCAAAAGGAAAATAAGCCGCTTGACTTCAATCGAAACACAATTCTCTGCCCTTCTCCTCTAAGGAAGAGCAAATCATCTTGGATCAGACAAACAGATTTTGTCCAGCCTGAAACCAAATGTTCTGCTATGTTCACATGCTATTTTCACCTTGCTCTTCCATCTTTAAATTGCAATTTTTGAGAAATTTATGGCCAAGTCATTCATCCCGCTCCACCTGGTGGATGTGTTTCCTGGAATCCCATTTACTTTTTTTTTTTTAAGTTTGGAATTAAAAAGTGAAAACCCCCCTGGATACTGCTCAGAACTCTGGTGGGACTGTCCCCTAAGTACTTGTCCAGATAACAGCATTTATTGACCATAATGCGCATCCACTCAGTGAACTACTTTAATTCTTCTTCCTCAGGTATTCCAAATCCAAGCTGAAGAACAGCTCCTCAAGTTGGAATTGACGACAACAGTAAATATAACATTCTCCATTATCCCTGAGCTGCAAACAGTATTCTCCTACAATAAATAACTGTTCATAGACTTGAACAAACTCAGGGCAGCGGCAGCCCCGCTGCGGACTTGATGACAGATGACTCATTTCCCAGGACAAAAGCAAGTTACAGCATATGAGTTAATAACATGGAAAGTCTGGAGGAGTGCAGAGAGCTGGGGAAATGGCAGTGAAGCATGCCCGACTGCAGTGCAATCACAACTTTTTGTCCTGCTCAAACCATACTAATGTCAAGCACAGTGCAGGAAGGTTCAGTGCTAGAACAACTATCTGGCATGGATACAAAGGCACACAATATTATCATTATTAAATAAATTATGCTAATTACAGCCATCACTCCCCATGGCTTTTGCTAGAAAGTGGGGAATTTGCTTTCATTTATACCTAGGTATTTTTGACTTACTGCAAAATTGGTGATCAGAGGTTGAGAAGTGTAAGTCAGAACCGATGAAGGTCCAACCAGCGTATAACTGGGACACATAGGCTGAACATACATATCTGCTGTGTATGGACAGCTGACTGCTTCGTGGGGTACATAATCAGGGTAAGTGGTCCACTGAGTCAAAGGCTGTAAGGATGTGGGAGAGGGCTGGGAGATCCAGCCAGAACAGAGTGCTCCTTCATCTGTGACAGGCAAGGCAGAGGCAGGAACATCCATATCAATGCAAGGCTGGCCTAAAAAACAGGAGAGAATTAAGATCAGTTTACCATAGCCTTCCCTGCAGCAGGGCTGACAAACACTTAGAAAGTCAGGGAAACATTACCCATTGGTGAATAGGAAGGAAGTGGTTGATGGGGCAAAACCACCTAGAATAGAGAAGAAAAATATCCAGGGATGAAGACCATAAGCATTAAATTAAATCTGAGAACACTGCGGGGCAGAACGTACTAGCTATTATCAGATACTACATCAATCTGGGTGCCTGTACATTCCTGCTTGCCTCTACAGAGGGGCCAGGAGAATTGAGCCTGGCAGCCACTACACATAACCCCAGCCCTGTTCAGAGGCCTAGCCACAGTCCACATGCCCCTTCAGCTCAAGGGGGCCTTAAAACAGTATTTAAACCTTGTGTTGCAGAGACAATTCCCCTTCAGAGAGGAGCCTGTCAATCTGCCTCCTCCTGGGGGGACAGATCGATGTAGGCTGAAACCAACAAGCAGATAGCCGAGGATGACTCTGATCTCTTTTTGTGCTCTTGAGCAAGCTGCTTAACTTCCAAGCCACTTTCCGTTCCTAGGAGTTAGGTCCTGCCAAGTCCAAGCCCTTTCACCCTCCCATTAAATCAGGGGTGATTGAAGGTGCTCAGCACCCAAAAGGCACTCCACCTAAAGTAAAGATACATTTAATGGTATCTCCAACTAACATGAGGCTGCGTCGCGTTCAAAATGCTTTAGAGATGCAAAGATTTCTTTTATTGCCAAAGTATCGCCAGCTGGTGCCAGGGCTGGTCAATCATTTAGCTACCAAGGAAGAATTTTCTGCCCGTGTTTGTTTTTTCTCCTACCGTTGTAGCTGCCGTTGCACCAGCATTGTGAACATTTCCCCGTTTCCTTTTCAATAGCTCCTTCACTGGCTCTTTCACACGGACACCTTGATAGGGGCGAGGCTGTGGCGGCTGTTCTGGAGCAGAAGCTGAGAACAAAAAAAAAGTGCAGGTGACATTTATTTTCCCTTCCTGCCATTTGCCCTGAGCCAAAATCCGCATGGCAGCCTGCTTGTCTGCAGGCTCTACTAGTCAATGCGGCTGGAGCCTGGACTCATAAACATTTTGTTCCTAAACTAATGATGTCTTTTGGCCCATACATGACGTCAGATGGCACAGGCTTTCTCTCTACCTTTGCTGCTTTGCAATCACACAGATTGATCATCAGGACAACGTAACCTGAAACAAGTATGCTTGCATTTCCCTCCAGCTCTTAAGTAGTTGCAGCAATACCAAGAAACTCAGCCCCCCCCTTTTTTTTTTCTGCTTTTTTTTTTCTATTTTTTTTTCCAAACAGGATTCACAGATAATTCCCAGCAAAAGAGCCTGCGCAGGCCTCACACTGAGGATGGTCTGGAAGCCAGAGCTGGTGGTTTCCCTGCTGTGCTGGGAGATGTAAACGTCAGAAGCTGTGTCCTACCAGGCACAGGGTGGAATAAACATGTTCTGCTGGATAAATAGGCATATTGATCTAGACATTGATGAAAACCAGGGAGGATGTAGTATAAGAAAAAGGGGTTTCTGCTGTTACACAGAGGATAATACCCCATTTCTAAAAGCAACACCTATCAGCAGACCTCCACCTCCCTGTGGGGATGTATTTTATACATGCATGAAAGTAGTAGTGAGCCACACTCTGAAGCAGGCTGAAAAAGGGAATCCCTCTTCAAAACTTACCAGCCAGGTTGCAAAAAAACAAAATTAGAGAGGCAACAAATATGCTGATTTTCCTCAAACTACCTCTAGACTAAACCTTTCGTTCTGCTGCCTTCAATGAAGTTTCAGTGTGATAATTGTGATGTTGTTTTTTCTTTTTCCTTAATCCCTGAGCCCAACATTCTGCATTCTTTAGGCTTCTCACAAAAATAGCATGTTTATTTTATTCCTCCTGACTCCACTTCTGTGTATCTGCTTTATGTTCCTTCAATGCCACTGATCTGCAGTACAGCAATTTACACCCACCTGAAAGGCAAATCAGACTGAGTATATCCCAGAGGCGCACAATACACATTGCTTGGTGGATATCTAGCCTATGACATAACATAATTGCTGGCCAGGTAGATACATAAAAAGTAGAGATTAGATATTCCAGAGAAATACATCATATTCTGTACTTAGACATAAACTATAAATGCAACCCAAATTAGAAAAGCATTCTCATTTGGAAAGCCATTTAACTCATCCCTAGTTTGACACGTATACCTCATAGCTTTTGAGAGCAGCCTGGTGTACTTAAGTGCCATCCTGGACCAGAGGCACGTTTCTGTTCCAGAGTTTTGCTCATAACCTGGCCAGGACGTTTAGAACTTGGTGAGCTGGGACACAACACAGTTTTGCAGTTATATTGACAACACAGCTCAAAGCTTATACCCATAAACTCTGCTCTGCTTTGAAAAGTAAAGCTTACAGCCAGCTAAAAAGGCCTATCACTAAGCCTTGTGACAAGTGAAAGTAGAGGAAGCACCGTTTTTCAGAAGCTGATATTATCCACCCATATTTTACGTGAAGTATTTGGAGGCAATTGATAGCAAAAGAAAACCGTAGGATATCAAGGCTTGGGGAGGCCAGATATTTGTAAAGCCACTGATTGCAGTAGTGGCTGCCTGCCCCTTTTTACTGCACTTTGATTTGTAAATATGCTAATTGATAAGTTTCCATTGTGGACATTCTTTGTGGGACTTTAAATTGGGTTACTTGCATTCTCATGAATCCTGTGGCTTTGGAAATGAAGTTAACAAATAGAATTAAAGTCGCTTTAATTCTGCATACAAGCATCCACAAGGGCTTTTAATATAATTCACATTTTGCTTTTTAAATGTAATTGGTATTAATTTATCTGAGTGCAGACAATAGACAGTACTAAATTGTACTGTGGTCTGAGCTGTACTGAGAACTCTGAAAAGGAGCTGAATAGAGGACGTCTGAAATAAAGACCAACACAAAGGTGCTTTCTTGGTCTTAATATTTAGTTACCTTTGGAACTTATTTATTTGTACTTTACTGAAAAGCTGTTCCGAGTCAGACACTGCCACTGTTCTTTATGCTGCATGAAAACATCAACTCCACCAAAGCAAATATGAGCTCTGCTACAGATTGCAGGAAAGGCAGAACTGTACCTCTTGGGTAGTATCTTACCCCTGAGTCACCACACTGATTTCAAAAGGCCTCCTTGCAGAATTAGGGTGGGGAAGGATGGCAGTTTCTGGCTCCAGGTTTGGGGGATGGGAAAGAAGAAATTTACTGTAAAAGCTGACAAATATACCTATTCAGAGTTTCCGGTGTAAGCAGAACCACCAAAAAAAAAAAAAAAAAAGAAAAAAAAAAACCCAAAGTCTGCAGAAAATATTTCAGTTCCCCCAACC